GAGGGAAAGGAGAGAGGGAGGAAGAGAGGTTTATCCTACAGCTAGCCAGGAACTCACTATGTAGACCAGGCTGGCTTCGAACTCACAGAGTTCTGCCTGCCTTTGCCTCCCAAGTGCTGGGACTACAGGCATGAGCCACGACGCCTGGCAAACTAGGCTCTTGACTGATTAAAGCAAACAATCTGCCTGCTACCAACAGTGGACCTAGACCTCTGGAAGAGGTATCCACACAGTGACAAGCAGAAAAAGAGATTTTTTCATATCTAGATATACAAGGCTCTCCATGATAAAATAAGAAAAATTGTGGGGGTCCAAACTCTAAGCTACCTTCTTTATTCTTTAATTTTATGCTATGAATGTTTTGCCTGCATGTATGTGAGTGTACCACATCAATGGAATGCCCATGGAGGCCAGAAGAGGAAGTTGGGTCTCCTGGAGCTGGAGTTACAGGCGGTTATTAGCCACTATATGGGTGCTGAGAATTGAGCCTGGGTCCTCTGCATGAGTAGCCAGTGCTGTTAATATTGAGCCATCTCTCCAGCCCTGTTTGTTTCAGTTTGCTTGCTTGCTTGCTTGTTTTGAGTCTGTAATCCAGGCTGGCGTGGAAATTTTCATGTAGTTCAGGGTGGCCTTAGACTCACAGCAATCCACCTGCTTCAGCCTCCCGAGTTCTGGGATTATAGGTGTGAGCTATAATGCCTGGCTACTTTTTTTTTTAATTTTAGGCAGGGTCTCATGCAGCCTGGACCATCCTGGAACTCATTATGTAGCCAAACATAGCCTTGAACTCCAAACTGTCCTGCCTCCTCTTCCTAAGTGCTAGTATTACAGGTGTGCAACACCACACCTACATCCAATATCTTTTGAATTTGGTAAAGTGTAATGTATGAATTACAAAATAGGAATCTACATCAACATCCCACAGAAAAACTTACACACATTCATGAAAAAATAGTCACAGTATGAAAAATTGCCTAGATGTCTGAATTAGTTACTTTTCTGTGGCTGTGCTAAAACACCACGGCCAAGGCAACTCACAGAAGAAAGAGTTTACTGGGTTTATGGTTCCAGCCGGGTTAGAGTTCATCATGGTGGGGAGGCATGGCAGGAGGCAGCCAGGGCAGAAAGCTGGGAGCTCACATCCTCAATCAGGCACAAAAGCAGAGACAGGAAATGGGAGGTGGCTATCCACTCTCAAAACTCACCCTCAGCGACATGCTTCCTCCACATCTCTTAAACCTCCCTAACCTCCCCAAAACATTGCAACCAAGTGGGGCCAAGTATTCAAATACTTGGGGTCTATGAGGGACAGTCCTCATTCAAACCATATGGGCAAGAGAGAGATGGCTCCATGGCTCAGTGGTTAAGAGCACTTGTTACTCTTTCAGAGGACTTGAGTTCAGTTCCCAGCACCCAATCCAACACCTTCTTCTAGTCTCCATGGGCACTGCACTCACATGTGAACATATACACACAGACACATACACACATGCATAAAAATAAAATTATATATATATATATATGTCCCCAATAGTTTTGTTGAGCTGTAAAGAAGAATGAGATTGTGCCATTTGCAGAGAAATGGATGGAACTGAAGATGAACATGATCAAAAAGCCCCAGACCCAGAAAAACGCATATTGCATGTTTTCTTCCACATGCTGAGTATGGATTTTTAAAATATAAGTAAAATCAGGTGTGGTGGTGCACCTGTGAAGATCGAGCCTAGCCTGGTCTACATAGTGAGTTCCAAGCCATCTGGGCTATAGGGAGACCCTGTCTCAAAAAAAATTAATAAATAATAAATGGGCCACTGACGCAGCGGGTAAAGGAACCTGCTGTAAAGTCTGACAAGGTGAGTTCAATCCCTAGAGCCCACAGTGGCAGGAGAGAACTGACCCCTGAAAGCTGTCCTCTGACCTCCACTTGAGTGCTATGGCACACACACACATCATACACACAAGTGAGTAATACATGTAAGAAAAAATTAATTCATTCAGTTTTAAAAGTAGGAAACTAGGGCTGGAGAGATGGCTCAGCGGTTAAGAACACTGGTTATTCTTGCAGAAGACCCAGGTTCGAATCCCAGCACCCACATGGCAGCTAACAACTGTCTGTAACTCCAGTTCCAGGGGATCCGATGGCCTATTCTGTCCTCATGGGCATTGCACGACAGAGTGCATTTACATACATGCAGGCAGGCAATACACTCATACACATAAAAATAATAAAATTTTTTTTAAAGTAGGAAACTAGAGCTTAGCAGGCGAAAGCATATGTACAGTCCTGATCATCTGAGTGTGATCCTTGGAACTCATGGTGGAAAGAGACACCCACTCCTGCAAGCTGTCCTCTGACCTCCATATCCATGCTATAGCATATTCTCACACACTCAAAACACATCACACACACTCTCTTCAATGATAAATAAAATAAAATTTAAACTTAAAAAAATGAAAAAAATAGAAAACTAGCATATTATAAAAATTAGAATGCGTACTGATATATCCCCTGGCCGTCATTCCCTCCCTATCTCTGGTAGGTCATGTCTTTGAAGAAGATGACATGAAACCAGTTCATAGCAGTTCAGAATATCACCCTGGGGTGGCCCAGGAAGGAAGGGACAGAACTGGGGATGGAACACAGTCTACAGTCGGGTTTGGGACCATGGCAAATGGCGTGGAGGAGGGAGTGGGTGCTGTACAGCCAGAACTGGCTTCAGGCCCGGGGTAGGAACCGGGAAAGTGGATGAGTTGAGAAATGAGCACTGTGGTGGAGAGTCGGCGGAGGACTACAGTGGGTGAAAAAGCCTACAGTTACGGGGTGGGGATGGGGGAGGCCAAGCGTGACCCTGCCTGGGGCTGCCCATGTGATTTTCTGATGTAGCTCAAAAGCAGAGCGCTTGCCTAGTATATGCAAGGACCTGGTTCCATCACCAGCATGGGGTGGGAGCTCAGATTTCCGGCTTGGGTGAGAGCTCAGTCGGTGTTCTCATTTGGTGTCTGTTGCTATGGCAAAACACTGACCAAAACCAATTTGAGGGAGATGGCATATTTGGCTTATAGCTCACAGTCCATCATCAAGGGAAGCCAAGGCTGGAACTCAAGGCAGGAACCTGGAGGCAGGAACTGAAGCAGAGACCATGGAGGAACGCTGCTTACTAGCTTGCTCCCCCTGGCTTGCTCAGCTGCTTTTCTTATACAGCCAGGCCCACCTGCCTAGGGATGGCACTGCCCACGGTGGGCTGGCCACCCTTCCTCACCAGGCTCACAGACATGCCCACGGGCCAGTCTGATGGAGGAAATTCCTCAATCGAGGTTTCATCTGCCCTTCCCAGGCATCTCTAGTTTGTGTCAAGTTGACAGAACACTATTGAGCACAGTTGGTAAAGCTCTTGCTTTGCACCCATGAGGAATTGAGTTCAATCTCCAGAACCCAAATACAACTGGGCTTTGTAGCATGTGCTTAGAATGCCAGAGCTGGGGAGGTGAAGACAGGCAGATCCCTGGGCTTGATGGCCAGCAAGCCTAGCCTACCTGCTAAGTTCAAGGCCACTGAGAAATCCAGTCTCAAAAACCAAGGTGCAAGCCAAGCATGGTGGAACATGCTTTTAATCTCAGCACTTGGGAAGCAGAGGCAGGCAGATCTCTGTGAGTCTGAGACCAGTCTTGTCTATATAGTGAGTTCCAAGCCAGCCAGGACTACATAAGTGAGACCCTGTCTCAAAACAAATTGGGGTGGCTGGAGAGATGGCTGAGTTGGGTTCCCAGCACACCCGCCAACTTCGTTAGAATGGCTCATAGCCACCTGTAAGTCTAGCTCCAGGGGATCCCACTCCCTCTTCTGACCTCTGAGAGCACTGCACTCACAGGCACAAGCCCATACTTACACACATATAGTCTACTCGTATGGTTTTTAAAATCTTTTAATGAGATGGCTCCATGGGTAAAGACATTTGCACCCAAGCCTGATGATCTACCTGAGTTGGAACCCAGAGACCCACAAGTTGTCCTCTGATCTCCACATAAGTATGGTGGCATACATGCACCGCCCCCACACATACATAATAAATAAATAAATGTAATGGGGCTGGAGAGATGGCTCAGTTGTTAAGAGCACTG